CTCGGGCTGGTCGTCGTGTCTCTTCGGTGTTCCTTCATCTCTTCGTATTGGCTGACAATATGTTCCGGTAGAAGAAATTATGTTGATTGAAGAAGAAAGGTAACTATGGTCGGAAAACGACCGGTATATAACCCGTGCGCCGTACCGACTAGTAAACTATCGTGTGTGCCCCCGTGATGTTTGTGTTTCCCGTCGGTACGGATTTGTGTGCCGTTAACTGGGTTTTTCGGTTATAGTCATGCGGAGGGTCTCATTATATTAGTCCTGATCTTCCCTATCCATGGCAGCATTTGTAAAGTTGTTAGCGTAGTTGAAGAAACTTAAATCTTGTAAAATAGCTCTGTCTACTGTGATTTCTTGTATGGCGTTATTATTCAGATTGCATGTAAACAGATTTCATTATATAACTTATATATTATTTGTAACAATATATTTCATTAATGATAACTAGGTAGGTAGTTAGGTACCTTACAAAAAATGTCAGTTTTTCACATGTATTAATAAGTAGGTAATAAATAGTAAATAGATCGTCTAGTAATGATTCTAAATTTCTAACTTATTGGTACCTATGTATGTTCGGTTATTATTAGTATTTATTACATGTATTGTTGAAAGAGATATTATAATAATATAAATTACATAAAACTTATAAAATAAGATATATACCTTGTCAATGATGTATATTAGAGTGATGACAAACGTTATTTCTTCACAGTAAACAAAATTCCGTTATTTGTGTAAAGGTGACGAACGATAACATTTTGCAACGGAACTGGAGATAAAACACATCCAAAAACAGGTTAGGTTAGGTTATTTTACTTTTTAATTCACTTGCTCTTGGTTAGCAGTCGTAAAGCTATGTGCTGAATATAAACCATCGATCGTATTTTATTTAAATATAAGGCAGATTTCCGCAGTAATAATGTTAGGAATAAGAGGTAGGTAATATATTTTTTTCGTTGCGATCGTAAGCTTTATACGTGGACGCTGTCACATATTTTACAAGTATTTGTGCAGTCTTTAATAATTGGTTTTGCATGATGTTAATTAAAATTCTGACAAACAATTGAGCAAGCAAATTGATGTAGTTTTGTTGAATTATAAATCAAAAAAAATTTCAAATATTTATTYTTTGTTTTTGTTTTTGATAGAAATTCCGCGTTTACGGCTTCCGTTTAATATAATATAATGATGTAAAACCACCACCGTTTACCAACCTTGATATATGATATTAGCACTAAAATATTATTATTCTGTTGTACACTTTTACATTATAATATTGATATTCATAGATTTYGTTAACACAGAAACACTTATTTAACAATCGGTACCGATTTTAAAGTTTTATGTTTAATTACACGCTAAAAGAGCTATGGCTGAAGTATGGACTTAGTGACAAAAAGATTAACTACCAGATTTTGAGAAGAGTCTCTGAAATTCACSAAAAATATTCAACACACAAAATTTAATATTTATAGTGTAAGGTAAGTTAACGTCAATATTTTGTAACATTAAATTATTATTACATGAATTTTATTTATTCACTCATAGTCGATTTAAGGTAAAAATGTATTATTTATCTATTGACGATTAATCAGGTCAGCGTTTACAACTATTTTAATTGTTCTATTGATTTGTATAAGTATATATTTTATTTCTTTCAGTAATTTAAAGATGTTATACAAAGGTGTTAATATGATTTATTATGCAAAATGTTTACATTATATTTATAAGGAGTTTTCATMAACTGAGTGCAATATAATTTGAATTTTAATTTTAAATCAATATTTGATTAATAAATTATACTAAATTATTTTAAAATACCATATTTTTCATATGCACTGAAAAGTTAATTTAAGTATTAAAAATTCTAATAAATAATATATAAACCAGATTGGATAAGAAGTCATTAAATTTGTATTTGTTTGCTAAATAGATTATTATGATTATAATTTATAGTAATTTATTTATTGTTAGTCATATTATTAATCTTCATACAATTTTCGTATAAAATACTATGGTTTTTCTGTATGACATGATAAGGTATTAGATGTACTATTCATTCTTAATTTCTTTAAAAAAAATAATACACTATAAACATGTATTCATATTAATACTATCATAGTATTCATATAGTATAATATGTACATTAAATTAGTTTATACTACTTTAAAATTCTTATTCCATTTTAATAGATGTACGATACCGTAATACATTTTACTAACTCTCTGAATTTTAAATTATGTTGATAGATTTATTTATTGAAAAACAATTTTTTTAACTAAAAAATTATATTTTAAATACTTAATTTTAAGAATTTAAATTTATATTTTATAATATTATTTATTGGTTTCACATTATGTGTGTATGTGTATGAATAAGATAAATATTTAGCTAAGGACAACTTGTAATAAAAAATAATTAAAATACGATCAAATGCCGAAATTATGACTTAACAAGACTCACAACTTTAACATTATATCATTGAATATGTGGATAACATTAATGAGTAATTACACAACACGTGTAATATGTTAATAATATAATATTTATTAAGACTAATTACAACCATCATGCGTATCGCTTTTGATGTGTTAGTATGGAATTGATAAAATTACGCAGTCACTTGTATATAATAAAATTTGTGTTTCCAACTAAATTTTGATTGAAAAGTTCACCGACCAACGAGTTAAGTTCATTGGTACGATTGTTCTGATCAGTTTATCTAATCAATCTCGTTAATGTACCGATCGCCAGCCCACCCTGTTCGCATTTCATCGCGCCGTATGTAAAATTCATTATCAATACAAAAAACAGATATATGTACATATTAATTACTAGATCAGTGATTACTAAAATATTTTCTAACGATTAATATTTATTATGCCTATTTGTAACGTTTCAATAGATAGTTTAAAATACAAATTTATTAAACATATAATTAATATAGTACTATTTAAAAAAATGACTATTTGATAGTTGTATATCTTACGAATTTAAGCGATTGAATTGTCTTGTTAATTACCTATTTAATAAAAAATATATACATACATTTTTTTCTTCTAATTATCCTAAAACAAAGGTTTAGAGGAATTAAATAAATAATCGTACTGTATCTTTTTCTTCGAAAATATAATTTCAATTTCAGTACAAATGACGATTGTGAAACTTTTTATAAATATAATATAGTTAACTATGTAAATTTACAAAGTATAAACTACAAGCTTTAAATAATAACATGCATAGCATTTTTACATTTAGTTAACAAACTCAGTATTTACTTTAAAAAGTAAAAGTAATAAATAAAAGAAACTTTAAAAATATTGATATTTTCTTTGAATTTTGGTTTTAATAAAATATATGCAATGTACGTGATTAGACGTAATATATAACTCAGTGTGACTGTAAATTTGATATTCTATTAATAGGTAATTAATATAACAGATTTACATATTATGCTCACATATAAACAGTTTAAGATAAAAGCTTGTTTGTTTCGTACATAACACAATATAGTATATAGTAGTTAATACAAGTAAAATAATACAACAATACCTTTAATTTGATAGATAGTGAAATATTTCTCACGATAATTAATATTATCTTCCTTCCTACATTATAATATATTTTGGCGGATTCCCGTAAATATCTTCGTCAAAGTTAAATATAGGTATGTGTGTAAGCATGTTCAAACTTCAAATGTGCACACTATCAAATTTTCTGTCAGTACTCATCATCRTGGAAATATAAYTGTATTATATACCTTAAAATTCACAGCTTTTTTGTATAAAAATATGGCACTTACCACTACTTATATATTGATGGGTCAAATAACACATGTTTATAGTGATTATTACAAATTGATATCATGTAGGCGTAGTCCTTTGTTATTCAATTAGTTATTCAAATCAAATCTAACCCTAGTCCTTGTTCATCGCCAACCAATTTTTTTAATTTGATACATTTTCATTGCATCGTGTAAATACATAAGAAAATACGAATTAAGTAATATTATCACGATTAAAAAATACGGTCAATTTAAAAATTAGAAGTTACGAAAGTTACAATTTTTTCAATTCCGAAAACAATAAAACATACATTTATAATTTTATTATAAATTAATCTCCCTGCGATTAAAAATCAGTAATCATATTACTCGGTATTTTTGATKGCACTGAAGTCCATGGTAAATGATTATAGCATTTTTAAATATAATTTATTAATATAGTCATAATTCAAGATGTAAAATTGCTTAATATTTTCAGTATAGTATAAACTATGATTGGAATAAAAATGTAGGTACACTAAGCGTGAGTAAGTACGTAAGTACGAAACAAAGTTATAGTCAACACAAATTCTGACCAAGCGTAATTTTCGACGCCAGTGCCGGACAAAAAAATCCATAATTAACCAACGATTAAACCTTATAAGAATTAAATTTATAAATTTAAAATGAAACATGAAAGTTCAGTAAGTGAATTTTCCAATATCAAACAATACCAATATGTATTATATAATATGTATGTATTATTTACTAGAGTAACATAATAATAATTTCAAACAATTTGTTTTACAACTAATACGATATATAAGCTTAGCACAGTTAACCATGAACAAGAATTTAATTTTGAACCATGGCATATGATTAGTTATACTAACTCAATGTTTTYGACAGGTGCGACAGGAGGAAGGGGGAACGTTACAACAGTAAAATTGTATTTATTTTCACATCAATAATACATCACAATGTAGATCCTTAGGTATTGATGAATTCAACGAATGCAATTTTTATTTTTTTCAATTATCAATTACAAATCAGTCTTTTATCATCGATTATAACAGGTTAGATCTGATCGAACGCCATTTTGGAAACCACTGGCCCTCAGGTCGCCGCCGCCACTGATTACAAATCCGTATACGAATTTTCGTATCATACGATAGCGTTATATATAAATTATAACATACATAATAATATATAATTAATGTTCCTTTTYAATTTTCGTCCGACGAGCGAACCAGTCCGCACGCGGTCGATTTACGTTCGACACGACACGACTCGAAGAAGGAACGACGACGACGACGACAGGCTTATTATCGTTATTTTACGTATAATATTATATTGGCCCCGGCGCCGTCAAGCACATCGATCCGGTTTTTATTTGCAGTCCTTCACAGACGACGACGACAAATACGACGTTTGGCTCTTGACGCAATAATAATATTATGGCCCGAACGTCCGTCGTGGTTTTCGCACTGATCGCGGCCATATGTCTGCGGCGGACTGCGGGCGCGGCGGATCGCTGGGCACGAGCAACCGACTGGACGGCGACAAACGGTAAATAAACAATACCTTCTCACCGCCTCATCATTACTCGTAAAAACTGCATTTGACAATGTGTGAATGTGAATGTGTGATGCGATTTTCTTWAGATTCTCAAACAAAAAAAAAAAGCGAAAGAGCTGATGTTTAAAAAAAAAAATCGTGTAGGTATATAATATAACATCGAGACTAAAAGTTTATTAAATTTAATATACCAGCACACTTTCAATAGAAACGTTAAAATGTTTTACACCTCATGATACCCAGGTCTTTTTTTTCATGATATCATTTAATATCGTACACGTTTAACCGTCTTATATAATCTACTTTATAATATACCATAATTTATTTCCCTCACGATATTCTAGCACCTATAAGATATTATAGACTAGATTACTCATTGACCTTATACTCAGTATAAGGTCTATGAGATTACTAGATACTATTAAATATTAGATAATCTAAAAATCACCATTCGAGTTATTGCTAAAATAATATCGCCTGCTACTACCATCCACTTATTTTTATAACGTTAAATATAATTCTGTCATTCTATACATTTTATATGTGTTCGTCGGCATCCCTTCGAACGAAACGCTATATTATAATTATTATAAGAATACGTATAATATTGGTCTTACACATRTACTTACTGCAGTGCTGTTGTTTATTTTTCCGGGAAGACTTTTTTTTTCTTTTGAGGGGTAGTAAAAGAAATGCTGATCGAAAAAGAAATAGTAGTTTTTTTATTTTCTTGTAATAGTGCGAGTATACATACGTTTTCAACGTAGGTTAAACTATACAGACGACTGTGGTAGACGATTTATAGTCAGCAAACGTGGTTTTGAATAAACGTTTACTCGCATATACAATCGTTTTTTTTAGATGCGCATTATTGATTCAAAGCTGTATTTAAATTTATGATCACCACATATCACGTGTGTACCGAATTGAACGAGTCTCGGGCACCAAATTTCGTGTGTTTAGCTGATATATTTTGATTATTTGTTATTTTAAAAATCATCATAACATTGTTGGTTAGGTTTTTTCCGTTGAACAATATCATAAATATTTATATTATTGTAAATTAATGTTAATTAATTTTGATTTTCTGATAATTGGTTTTTTTTTCAACATGAGCCGCGTAATTAAAATAAAAACAAAAATTGTTCAATAATTATTGATACGCGTAAAAAAATATTTTCGTAGATATAAATAAATAAATAAAAATAAAAATCTGAATTGAAAAATATCTTAGGACCCAAAATTACGTAATGTTTGAAACTTAATACATTTAAAATATTTGTTAAAATTAATTTTTCCAACGATTTTATGTAGCTATAATAATATATTTAGATTTACATGTAGATAGCCTTAGGCTAGAAATGTCTTATGTTTAAAATTTAAAAAAAAAATTATTAACTTTTATTAGATACATTATAATTTCTCGATTATTGGTAAGGSTTATTGTTATCCAGTTATAGGTACTTAATATTATTATAATTAATAAAAAAAATTTTGTGCGCATAGGAATTTGATAAAATTGTAAATAGGCAAACAAGAAAGCATACATTTTCAAACACTGATATTAATATGATCAAAATAATTTCACAGATTTAATAACATATATATTAGTCTTATATAGATACTCGTACACTATAATATGATATTTATCTTTAATTTTTAAATGCAGTCTACAATCTATACCACTTTGGCACAACAAGCAGATGTGAAACAGATATATATAAATTATTTAAAAAATAAATCATATCTTTAATAGCATTTATACATAATACATGCCATTTTTGAGGAAAGCAGCCACSAATTATTAACACTTTCGTTTGCTATTTAATTTTTTTAATTTTTATATTTTCTTTTTTTTCCAATTAATATTAATATTTAATATGAGATTAATACTTAATAATCTATTTTTGTATAGAAATTCAACTTAACATAACTGACTAAGTAATTTGCAAAAATAGATTTAATATATCCTACTATTAGATAGTAGTATTGATCATACAACATATAATACCTATAATCAATGGTAAAACTAACAAATACTAATTCTTATTGTAACTAGACTATTTAAAAAATATTTAATCACTTATATTTTATTTCACGTTGTGTAACTTATATTAAACAAAAAACTTCTTTAAAAAGTTTTAAATGAGTTTTTTTTTTTTAAATAAAATAAAATAAAATATTTATTTTATTTTTCAGTATGTATATTAGAAATACTTTTAAACGATCTAATGATGAACTATAAAGTAATGTGTTATTATTATATAATATATGTGTATATATTCGAGGAAAGGCTACAAAGGGTGGGGCGTGGGTTAATCTTAAGGATCAAATACTTCCTTGCACACAACGCTATGAATCTGGTGAGTGCGTTATAGAATATAATATAATAATTGTTTTTTCTAGATTTATATACCCAAAACACACACACACATATATATTATAAACATAAATTCGAAAACGATTCATAAAAAACGTCTTATAGCTCACGCTGATACRCACGAAATATGTTTTTGAATCCAATGAATTTTATAGAGATATTAACAGTTATATTATGTTTGCTGTGCGCTTTAGAAGTAAATTATTTCGAGTCAAAAAACTTTTCTCATATATATATTATATTATTGCAACAACAATTTAACGGGTTTGTTTGTTATTACTATATTATTATTTTTTGTGCTTTATTATGTATTATTACTATACAACAATATATATTTCACTAAGAACAGATTTAATTCTGTTGGAATAATAAACACTTGGTGTGAATATAATACGACAACGGAAATAGTTATGACAATATGTTATTGTTTTACCCTTAGTATCTGAAAGAAAACTGAAAATCACTAGTCAAAGAAATGCAAATAAATAAATGTAATATTAACACCGATAATGCGTACATATTAGTTTACAAATAATAAATTGTATTTCTATTTACACTCTTAATTTTCATTACTTATATATTTTTCAGTATTTTTTGGACCTTAAATAAATTAAAGTTATTCATATAATAATATAATGGATATAACAAGATATTTATTTTTAATGTTATTAATATTTTAGATTAACAAAGCATTAAAGTATAATACCAATCGTTGATCTTATCCTCCCATCTATTAAATGAATACCCATGTTAATGAACATTATATAGTTTTTGAGTCGAATTATAATTGGTATATTTCCAATGGCCTATGTCGCCRCCGGTATTTTTATTATTATTAATAATAATAATAATAATAATAAAAGAAAATAATTAGTATAATAATAAATAAACTCATTCATACGATTGAATGAATAAATAATACTTTGAAATATGTTGCGTTATTAAATTTAATATTTAAGTTTGATGCAATCACTCACACTAAAAAATAAAACCTAATATAATATATATTTTACAATAAATTATTAAAAACAGACGGTAATGAATGTTTAATTTTTTCATAATATGTAAATTATTACACAAAACTAAAAACGGTTTTGAAATGTATTTCTTTAGAAAAATAAATTAAAATATTTAACCCGTAATGATCTTGTAATGTTGTAAATAATTTTTGTAATTATAAAAATATTGATATGACCAACTACAAAAAAAAAAAAGAAATTAAATAAAGTTTTTGCACTAATTAAACCAATATTTTCAAGCTTGTTTTTCATTTAATGGCTTTAAAATATATTAAGAAGATAGGATCATTAGTTTTAGTAAACAGTAATGCGTTTTTAGTGATAGTTTCCATTCAATCGATTTTGACTGGAATTCTGTTGTATAGATTAAAATATGATATAACATATTAAGGCGAGACATAATGCTGACTACATACTATATAGTTGTAACTTATATGTAGATACTAGGTATATATATATATATAAAGCCAAAGTGGCAAAGTGGCAAAGTACTTAAATAATTATATACACGTATAATACATATGTACAWATGTACATATAGCTGTAAACTATGTATTATTGCACTATATAATTTTCGATAAATTGAAGTACCTATAATATGTATGTATCACTATAACTTATGAATTATTATAACTGCCATTAGAATACCTACTTTGTCTTTCAACAAAATATATTTATCACTATCATATTATTTTATCATGGAATAATGAGATTTTCTCAATTTTGACAACATCAGATACTTGCAATTTCCGATAGATTCCATCGGCTATATGGAACTTTTGAACTAGATTCTTGATGTATAATATTACAAGAAAAAAAATCAAATGCATCATTTTAAAACGATTAGTTTCGTCACTTCACTTCTGAAAGAGGAAATTCGAAAAAAAGAATAAAAGACCGAATAAAGTGACATCGCGATCAAACAAAATCGTTTTCAAATTCCGGAGGGAGCTGTGACGACATACTATAACGTAATAACCTCCCTTTCTCCTCACTCTATTAAATACTAATAATATTAAAGTACATTCACCCAGGGTGGGTCCATAAAATGGAATGGGTTTTTATGTGAGGGATTTCGTGACCACATCGACGACTTATGCACGAGGACAATACATCAATCTATATACGAGTAATATATACATAGTATATTTTCACACATCGTTTAACGATATTCAGCAACCGGTCAAAAATAGATATAAAACCAAAATAGTTTTCTAGTCCGAATATTCGAACGTCCATTGCAGTATTGTACGTGATACGAGGCGTGAGTATACAACCATTAAATCATATAGGTAGATGCTATAAGCAGGTAAATAATAATCATTTCTGATGCCTTCTTTGGTCTTTCACTAAAGACGGGCGTTTCGCCTTACGTGTGGTGCATACGTAATTGAGGCCCCAACAATAATCCCTCGGCTGAACAGTTTTTCCGTCCTTTTTTAAGCGGGTATAACGTAATGTTACATTACCTTTGAGTAGAACCCGTCGTGCTAAAGCATCGTTTCACTAGTCATTCACTATTTCCTGCTAGTATACATAATAATAATTAAATAGGTATAAACTGGGTGATCATCCCCATTATATYCACTAAA